CGTAAGTTTAATAGCTCAAATTGACTTTTTTTTTATCACTTTTCTATTCGATGAGACTTTTTTCGTTAGTTTATAATAAAATAAATAAAAAAGAATTTGCTTCCAAAATTCGTCGTTTATCGAAGGTTTCTCTTTTTTGAACTAGTGACATCTCTCGTCATACCTGACTCTATGCATACTCATTACACAGCTGCTTGACGGTGCTTATTGAAATCTTTTCTTCTGTGTCGATACGTACTATTTTTTGTTTTTTTTGTAAAACTTGACAGAAAATGGTTCTGTTAATAAAGAGAATAAAAGCTGTGTGAGAATTAAGAATGGAGCAGAACTGCTTGAAATTTTTTCTCTTTTTCTCACACTGTATGAGAATAGACCCAGATTTATTCGAAATATCAGCGTGTGGTACATTCCAATGTTTTGTGCATTTGAATCATTTTTTTTTAAACAAAAAACCCAAAGTGGTTTTCCTAGAATGTTCTTCTAAAAGTTTTTTATTACTAAAAAAAGAATGATATACATTATATTTCATTCTTTTTTATAAAAATAGCCACATTTTGATAGATTTCAGTAATGTAGCAGAAGAAATTATCTTTTTTTTTTTTTTTTTGACTAATGGAAGCTTTCGTGAAGTTGAACGTTTGGTGCTTTCGCTCTATGAATGAGACTATATGTTGAAGAAAACAAAAATCTTTTCTAGATTTGCTATCATCTATAATGGATATTTTTCTGTTTATTTGATCATTGTTGTTTTCTATTTTTTTTTTACAATCGCAATAGAAAATCTTATCTAACGTTTTTTTATGTTATATTGTACATTGTTGTATGGCATTATTCAAATGTCGAAGATAAGTTAAGGTAGAAAAAATATTTTCTTGCAAAATCTGTGTGATTGTTTATTAAAAATTACGTCTTATTTGATCAGATAACAATTCTAGACAGGCATAAACATACACATTTGTGACCTTGCATTGAATGACGGTTAACTAGCTATTCATTCTTGAACGTAATCTAATAAAGAAAATATATATATTTTTTTCTGTGAGAAGAAAAATGTTTTCCGATTATAATAGAAAAATTCTTCAGTTACATAGAAAAATCTAGCAAAAAAATTGCTCGAGGATTTTATATTCAAGTATAAACTTATTTTTCTCTTGTAATAGATTACTTGCCAAATCATTTTCATGCATTAAATTAACTTTGAATTGAAACGTGTGTCATTCTTACAATACAGTCCAAATGAAGTTGAACTCAACTATTTCAATCGTTAGATAAACTTGAAGAATTTTTCATTTAAAAAGTAGAGTCATGATTTCTCTATGTCAGAAAAATATGGCAAACATTTCTTCAACTTTCAGTTATGCAACAATGATGTTTTTTCTGCCCTTCTCTATTCATATAAGAATTTTATAAGTCTTCTATACGTTTAATCAAACTGTATAAACACTGAAAGATTGCTTTTAGTACAGTTTTTCTCCTACTTTTTTATCAAAATAAATAAGAATAAGAAATTTTGTCTTGTAGGCTAACATATTTGAAGATAATCGGTTGTTTGATGAGTAAAGTTGAAAGTAATAAGGTCAATGGAAATCATCAACTTTCTCTTGAAAAGAAAAATTATGATACTGGTTTACTGATGAGTATTGATCATGTGTATAGAGGATAAGGTTAATCTCTCTGCACTGCTCAGGGTTATGTCTTGTCTTCATTTCTTGCAATGGATGACCTGTTGATGTTGTTTTTTTGTGTAGTATATACATTTATATTTCGGTCTTTGTAACATGTACATAACTTTTGCTTCTACTTTAGATTTTCTTATTATGTTCTTATGGTGTATATAGTTCATAGTTTTTCTTCTTTATTTCTTTTTCTCTCTTTAGGCATCATCTTCGTATATTCAACTCATCATCATTACTATTGTATCTATTACTTCAGAGCTGAAACGAGAAAAATTTTCTTTTTGTTTTGTTTCTAGATATCTATACATTTTTTATTTAGAGTGATGGTGTATGATCGAGAATGCAGAGAAAAGAAAGCAAAAAGTCCATTTTTCTTTTTGTTTTTGTGTCGTAAAAAATAGAGGTTTGAAGATTTTCTTCTCTTTTTTCCTATTATAAAAATTGAGTTTGATATACACCCTGCACACATAATTTTTTGAGTCAATTATACTCATAACGATATTTTTTTTCAAATGATGATCGGAGAGAGGAGGGGGAGACTGATTATGAGTCTTCTTATATTTTATTTATTTATGAGTCTTATTTGAGTGTTTAAAAATTCATCTGTCAGAACGACAACAATATATTTTATAGTTTATTCCACACTTTACTCGTTGTTTTTTCGTTTGATCTTTCTCATTCTATTTAGTTTTTAGGTTGTTCTTCTTTCTTTTTTTATACATAATCTCTCTGTGTACACGCATAAACATATATATAGAGAGAGATCTACATCTTGATTTTTCTTATTTCTTCTTCTTTTCTTAATTTATGTAGTCGATCGTGTCGGCTCATTTAACAGAACATCGTGTATACACGCACACACATCCACACACTATGAGAGAGTAAAGTAGATATATAAGACAAAAAGAAAATAGAAGAACTACATGATGAAGAAAATACTCGCATAAACTAAACTATAAACCCTGTATATTTTATACACGCGAACATGATCAAGGTTTTGAACATGAGACACGTGAAATAAAAAAATGAAGAAAAAGAGAAGATGTGTGTGTGTGTGTGTTCTTCATCGCTTTAAAATAACAACATATAAAATATAGATGATGCTATGGCTTAAACTTGCTTTTCTTTCCTTATTAATACTTACTTTTATTGTCCTACCGCAACTAAAAAAAACTTTTTTTTCTTTATTCTAGTAAGTACAGAACGCGAAAATCTAATTCTGTTTTTCCTTAAAAATAGACTTTTCTTTTTTTTTTTTATTTCTACTTCAAAAATTGATGAAAGGTGAATCCTAGTGATTTTTTTACCATTTTAAACGATATTGAGTTCAATTTATTCAAAAAACAAAAGACACTTTTCTCACTATAGGGGAACGGATATAAATTTCATTCAAACTTTTATGTTTAGAAACTTTCTTGAAACTCTTCAATCTTAGATAAAATATGAATTGACAAAATTTGATTGATCAAAAAAACAAAATATCTTAAACAGAGACGAAAAATTTATAATAATACGTTTTTTTTATCTTCATCGATAGTATTTAGAGAATATCTGAGAAGTAATTCGAGTGATTTGAAATAACATTGACATAGGTCATATATATGATAATGGCTCAAATAAAAAAATAAAAAATAGCAGCAAAAAAAAAAAATTATTTTTTTTTCCCACATGTTCTAATGATTAGAAGCAGCACGTTCATCATAATGAAATTACTTTAATAAATCAAACAGTATGAACGAAGTCTGAAGACTTGTAAGCGATAAGTATAAACATATGAGAATTTTAGAAACATTATTCAAAAAAAAATAAAGAAAGAAATATATTTAAAAATAAGGTTTCTCTAATATTATAGTCATCATTCAAAATTGACAAACCAATCAAGTTTTTAAATGTATTCGAATAAATAAGTGCATAAAAAATTGAACAGAAAGAGTTATTGTTGTTATTCTCCTGTTAAAATGAGTACAATTTCTAAAATATTGGTTATCATAACATCATTTTAAAATTTAAATAACAAACAATACTATCAGAGAATACTAAAATGAAATACAAACAACTCTTTTTGTCAGTTTATTATACATTTTCACGTCAAACACATTTGAAAATTTAGTTTACACTTTTGAATATGACAAGTTGATTATTTTCTTTAAAATAATTAGATATTTTAATTATTCCACAAAAAAAGGGATATTTTTTCTAAAACATAAAAATTCTATGATCATTTTTTTCGTTCAAAAAGAAATACAATGATAGATACGTATGAGGTACGCTTACGAATTGTTATGATTCTAATATTTTCTATAGCTTTCTTTTCTTAAATTTGACTATATGAAATTTTTCTTGACTCTATCGGTTCTTTTTATTAACTATTGCATGCAATATTGGTAAGTACACACAAGAATATTGAGTCAACTTTTTGCTATATCATTGACTCTCGCCTTTTCTAGACATAGAAAAAAGAATTTATCAACTAAAGAATACAAATTTCATTAAGAGAACATAACATTTTGCCATACTAATTTGTTTGAAGACCGAATCATTCAGTGTAAAAGATTTTTTTAGACAAGAGTCAGTCTACAATACACTGTTATTCTTTGTGTATGTATATTTAGAAGATTTTTTTCAATGACATAACCAGTTAGTACCTATAGAAAACTGATACTAGAAAACATTGAATCAATTACATAACTTCAATTATTTGTACAACATAGAGAAACATAGTGAATAGTGAATTTAGTTTTGTAGTTTATTGCTTAAGTTAAATTCGTGTATGGTTCACATTTCTATTTGTACAAGAAAATTCATGTTTTCTATTTTTCGATAGTTGAAAGTTTAGAATATTTGAATGAAACAAAAAAAAAATTTTGTTTTTTTTTCATTTCTATTCTGAGAAGAACAAAAATTTATATCAAAAGAAAGACCTCAGTTCATTTATATTCCACTCATCTAAATGTTATTCGTTCTATCTGATTGCATAAATAAATGGTAACATGTATAGACTGTTTATCGTTTTATTTATATTTATCAAATAGATTTAATTTTTTCGTTGTTAATAATATCACTATTTTATTATTACCACTTGTTAAATATGTGTTACAATCGTTTATTGTTTTTTTTTTTGACTTTTTCAGATACAAAATCGGACAAATAATATTCTTCATTTAAAAAGTTAATCAACGATTTTCAAAGAATAGTTATTGTTTGTTGTTTTTGTTTTTTGTTCGTCATAAGTCTCTATTTTATTATTTATTTATTTATCTGTTATTCTCCTAATGAATTCGAAAAACGAAAATTAATTTTAATTTATAATTAAACGGGAAAACAATGTTTAAATGTTTTCCATTACCGTTTTGTAATCGTAACTTGGAACAAGTTGATAAGCGACATTGTAATTTAACGACAGTACCAGATGATGTTTTACGTTATACAAGAACATTAGAAGAACTTTTACTTGATGCAAATCAATTACAAGAATTACCAAAAGTATGTTTTTATGTTTTCTAATAAATTTTACATAATTTAGAGTGGGCTTCTTTTTTTTTAATAGACAAATGACATGACCTTGACATAAATCTTTCAATGAAAGTGTTGTTTATTTCTTTTAATACTACAAGACTATTGCATGATAGAAGAATTAATGTATCAAAAAGTTTGATCAAAACTCTAGATAAATCTCAATGAAAAAGGAGATTAAAAACATATTCAAGTTTTTGTTTTTGTTATTGACGTGTGTGTGTGTGTGTGTGTGTGTGTGTGTGTATGTCATAATTGAACGAAAGAATTACGTATATGCATGATTACCAATGATATACACGGAGGGAAAGAAAAATGTTAATAATTTCCGTTATTTTCAATAACAACAAAAGAAATGACATATATGACCGTTAGGTTGTTTGTTAACAAAATGAAAGCAAAAAATAATATTACTCAGTAGATCTGATACCTTGTTTTACTTATTATTTCTAGGGTGTCTATCGTTTAACACAATTGCGACGATTAACATTTAGTGATAATGATATACAACGAATATCGCCTGAAATTGGTCAATTAATTAATTTAGAAGAACTTGATTGTTCAAGAAATGGTGAGTATTCAATTTAAATTAGATCAGGTCACGATGGTCTTCTTTGATTTATTTTTACAATAGAAAAAAAGGAAGGAAAATACACGAGATGATTAGTATAATTGAATTTCATGAAGTCTGTATTAGATAAAGATAGAATAGGAGAAAGATTTCAGAATTTAAAAGGATGAAATAAAACAGTAAACAATAATTTATTTAACTTTTCTCTCTTGTATTTTATGAACAATTTTCTATATGAAGAAGATCAAATACTTATTACCGAAATTGTTCAAATGATCATATACAAATTTCTTAGATATTTTCTCTTAACAATCATTGCAACTACTTTTATTCTTTACTAAATATGAATTTTTAACCGCATTTTATCATCTATCTTGATAGTAAAGAAATTCATGTCACGATAATCTAAACAGAAATAGTTTTTCCTTCATTGTTGCAAAGTTCAATGACAAGAATTTTTCTGTATGTGTTACGTGTTATAGTTCTAATGATAGAAAATTATATGGTAAACAGTTAAAGACGTTTAGTTTTTGTTTTCATCTCATAGATCTTTTTTTCTTTCAATCTTATTTTGGATCGAATAATGAAAAGTCGTCAATTTTTATTTTTTTTTTCAATGATAAAAATCTTGTCTGTCTTTCTTTTCTCTCCCTATTATTGACTACCTCACAAAAAGAAAAGAAAAATAATGAAGAATGAACATAAAGTCCTACGAGACAAAAGTTTCTTTTTTTCTTATGCGATTTTTTTTTTATTCATTCATTTCATACAGATGTACACGCTCGATTTATAGTAATATAATAACTATTTGATACACACACACAGTCTTCCGGTTACGTCAAGGAGAGAGAAAGAAAGAAAGAAAGAAAGAAAGAAAGAAAGAAAAAGAGAAAGAGGGAGAGAAAGAACAGACACACGCAGTGTATTATGAAATAAATGTTAATTTTTATTGTCTATTCAGTAGAAATGCATTGCATTTGCATTTCACACAAGTGCCAATAAAAAAAACAAATCGAAAATAAATAGTTTTGTGACATATTGACAAATTTTAAGAAAAATATTTAAAGAACGCGTACTTGATTATGTAAAAGAAATACTATTAAAAATTGGTTTATAAGATTTTGTCATGAATAAAACATAGTTTTTAGGGATATCGAATCGAGATATATTGATCAGAATTTTAAATTGAAGATGACTGTTTACATGAAACAATTATGAAAACTAAAGTTGAAAAGTAGATGTTAACTTATTTTTACATTTAAACTATCGTTTTCACAATATAAGAAAAATAGCTGTTTTTTTTAAATAACTTTTTAACAAGATACAATATAAACTGGTATATTTAAAGAGTCTTGAAAAACTAGTTTGTCCATCTATGTCTTCTGGAGTGTATTCATTGTATTAAGTGTGCACTATATATTCACGTAAATTCAAGAGGAATGGTCAGATTTTTCAGAAAATCGTCAAATCACGTCTGAACGAGTGTAATTAACATTAAAAATGAATAAAACATAGATTGTTGACTATTCTGCATTTCTTGATAATGTTTGTTCTCGATGAAAAAAATCAAAGAACTTAATATAAAATCTAACACTTTAGAGAAAATTGATGACTGTAGGCTATTTGCTTAGTACCAAAAATAATTCATAATTTAATAGTCTACTCAGTTTTGGTTTCATTTATAGGACAATGTTACGAAAAAGATTGAAACAATGAATTTTCAATTCATGAATCTCTAGCCATTTCTGAAAAATTCTCTTTAGTAACTAATACAGTTTTGATATTTTGTTAATTTTCTATAATTTTAAAGTATTTACTCGATGACTTGCTTTAGAAGAACATATATAGTCTACCATGGGAGGATGTTGAATGACAAGCTGTTTTTGCATGTGATACTGAGAATATAATTTTTCAGCCAGTCGATAAGAACAGTCTTTGAATGACAAAAAAACATCGGTTTATATTGTATCTTGTTAAAAAGTTATTTTGAAAAAACAGCTATATTTCTTATATTTCTTAAAGTGCTATCAAAAATAGATTGAGAATACTAATAAAGAGCATGCACCGATAATCGATGAACATGACTTTTTCATAAACATACAGTTCTTCGGTGATAGTGCAATGAATGAAAACTGAAAATATGTTCGTTTTTTACGGCTGATAATTTGTGATTATTACATGCCTAAAAGGCACGCTTCTATTAGAAATCTGTATTCGAATCGCACAGTCTGTTTTAACTGTTTCGCAAAATACACTTGAACGTTTTTTCTACTTGTATAAAACTTTAATCTATTTCGACATGAAAGTAAAATGTTCAAACGTATTCTACGAAACGATTAAACAGGACCATCACAAAATTGATATTTATTTTGAAGGCTTTGAAAAATCATAACTCATCAATCAGAAGTTTTCAAAGATTAAAACTTTATATTTCATAGGCAGTTCGTATGGAGGATAAAATGATAAAAACTTTTCAACCAGAAATAGTGTCCAATATATTATGTGTAAAATATAAGAGTGCAAACTGTTAAGATTTATAACATATTTTCTATGATAGTTGGATTATACAACAATATGAAATAACAGCAAACAATTTTAACTTTATATCCTCGTTTACGGAAAGTTAAAGCAGAAAAAAACTATTTGTCTTTTAAAAGATTTCTTTCGTTATTTATTTATTACTATTTCTGTTTTAGATATAGCTGAAATTCCAGACAATATTCGGCATTGTCGAAGTTTACAAACATTAGATTGTAGTGGTAATCCATTAGCCAAAAAGTGCGTCATTATTTTTTTCTTCTTTTGTTGTTTATTCTCACTCTTAAAATACATTTATTTCATTCTTTTAGTTTACCGCCTGGCTTCATTCATTTACGTAATTTAAGTCAGTTAACATTGAATGATGTCTCACTCACACAACTTCCAGATGAAATTGGCAGGTAAAAAAAATGAATATTTTTTTAACAAGATATAGATAATTACAGAATTATCATAAATTTAAATCTTCTTGTAAATGTGCAATAATGTTGATTTCTTTGTTTTCTTTTTTATTTAGTTTAACTAATCTTCGTTTATTAGAAGTTCGAGAAAATTTATTAAAATCATTACCTGAATCATTAACTCAATTACAACGATTAGAATCACTTGATTTGGGTAGTAATGAAATTGAACAACTACCCAGTGGTATAGGACGTTTAGCATCATTGCGTGAATTATGGTTAGATATAAATGAATTAAATCAAATCCCCGTTGATATCGGACATTTAAAACGACTACAATGTCTGGATATATCTGATAATAAATTAACACAACTACCAAATGAAATTGGTGATTTAGAATCGCTAACTAATTTTGAATTATCAACAAATCAATTAGATGAAATACCTGCGACGATTGGACGATTATCAAAATTATTAATATTAAAAATCGATTCGAATAATCTCGGACAGTTGTGTTCCGAAATTGGACAATGTACTTCGTTAAACGAATTGATATTGACAGAAAATGCTCTCAGCGAATTGCCGACAACAATAGGAAATTTAAAAAAGTTATCAAATTTAAATGTGGATAGAAATCAGTTAACATTATTGCCAGTCGAGGTAAGAGTTCATACACTGTTTCTGATTATTCGAGACAAACATTCTTAAACATACACAAAAATTATAAGCACTGTGACAACAACTTTCACTCACAAGTGAACATGTTTGTTGTGTTTATTTAGATAAGTAAATGTGAATCATTGGGTGTGTTATCTTTGCGTGATAATCGTTTAACTCGTATTCCAAATGAATTATCGAAATTAAAACATTTACATGTACTAGATTTATCTGGTAATCGATTGCCCTATTTACCATGTTCATTATTAGATTGTGATCTTAAAGCCATTTGGTTAGCGGAAAATCAAGCACAACCAATGTTAAAATTTCAAACAGATATTGATAGTAATACGGGTGAAAAAATTTTGACATGTTATTTATTACCACAACAACATTATACAACAGCATCAATGGGTATGTGTGTAAAATATTTATCTGTAGCAAAAAAAGAAGACATATATGAGCATTAGCAGCTCACTCTTCTACAACAATGGACTTTCGTGACGTTTTTTGTTCATTTTGTTGTGTCGATATATATCAAACCGAACCATGCAGAGAATCGCGAGATGTCTTAAATTGAAGAGAAAAGTCTTGTGAAAATAATTCGAGTAGTACTCAATGTTCTATTAAAATCTTCAAAAAGTGAGTGCAGATACGTCTTAAAATGTTCACAAGACTTTTCTCTTCAATTTAAGACATTTCGCGATTCTCTGCATGATTCGGTTTGATATATAGCGACACAATAAAATGAAGAAAAAACGTCACGAAATTCCCTTGCTGTAGAAGAGTTAGTTACCAACGTTCATATGCTTTGTGTGGTATGCTATGCTCAGCATCTATAATAAAAAATCTAAGAGAAAGAAAACTTTTCTTAGTGATTTCTAAAAGAGAAGAAAACTATTCAGTTAATCCCCTCTTCTTCCCCTTTTAATTGAAATCGCTGATTATATTGCAGTATGCAGAATCCAACAAGTCACATATCTGGCTGTATGATAAAGAATCGTCGTTAGATATATTGACTTGTTTTTCTTCGTTTCTAAAAAAATTGATGTTTTATTAATTTCAAAGACTTTTGTACATATAAAAAACAGTATGCCCATGAATAATATACCAAAATGTTGGACATATTGAACCAAATTTGAGAAAATATGATAAGAATACACTCTTAAGATATGATGTTCTCTGAAAACTTCGATACTCGTTTTTCATTTAATAAAACATTGTTTTAGTCAGTTATATGATAGATAATCAATGTACGCTTGAATCTTTCGTTGTCCTTCGTATCAGATCGCATTTTAAGTGTGATTCTGCGTCGCCAATCATAGTAACCATCGTTGTGAATTAAATTTTTGTCTCCGTATGGTACGTGATAGAAAATTGCTTTGCTGAAAATATCTCTATACCTAGAAGACAGTTTTGCTATTTAGCACTTCTCATTAGCTGATACATTTGTGTATTTAAACCAGTCAGCTATTTAGTTTTTTCTGTAGTCAATACGTAACACTTTTGTGATCATTCTTATCGAGTTTTACGTGTTGTTGTTATTTTTATAGTTACTGAAAGAAAATACGGTCGAAGCAGTTATTAAGAGAGGTATAGATAGATAGAAAATAATATTTATGCATAGAGATATAGGGTGTTGCTCTGCTGCTGCTAATTGCTGCTCTTCTGTACATTAAGCACAGTTTATATACATATGTTTCACATTTATGCTTTTCATAATCTTTTTGTTTTTGAATTACTGGTATACCTGTGCGCGTATCTACTTCCATTTTTTTTTTCTTCGTTTTGTTCCAATTTTCAGTAAAACACACACACATTTCTTCTCTGTATATTTTTTGTTAATATCATTTTGCTTTATTTATATTGAGTTACTATAGAATGTATTTCTAATCAATCTTTTTTTTTCAGAAAATTTACTGAGTGCATCCAAATCTCAAAGTTTACACATTGAACCAACAGTCACAGCAACAGTACCAACTGTTACTCCCTTATCTCTAGCACAAACAACACCAGCAAAATATAATGATGATACATCAGACAAAGAAGATCGACATGAACGAACAGGATCAGTTAAATTTGCCGATCAATTCGAAGACATCAAAGAAGTAAAAAGAATTTTCTTTTAAACTATTTAATATTTAAATAAATATTTATTTTTATAATTTTAGAGTAGTCTTCAACGACATAATACACCGCATCCAAAAGATCTTCGTACATGGCGAAATAAAGTAGCCAAAAAACTACATACAGACGGTCATATATTACATCATCATGGACATGGAAATCAACAACATTCTGGATCAATTCCAAGTAATAATACTAACGATGAATATGTACACGATGTAGAAAAAGAAGTTAATAATAAACAACAACCATTATCTCTAACATCATTACAAAATAAAAGTCTTCCAGGTAAAAATAAATAAATCAATCGTCGAAAAAAAAAAATATTCATCTCGAAAGATGTACTATTTTATTTAGACGGATCCGGAACAACGACGAATTCGTCACATGCACATGATACGATTGAATATTGTCCACCTGAGACAAGTTCCGGTTATCAGGATTCTGATGTAAGTTTGATTAAAAGTATGACTTTTTTTCGCTAATATCCTGTGTCCTTTTTCAGACGGAACATAATCCTGACAATGACCATGATGATGTTTATCATTCCGGTGATCAATCTCTTGTAGAAAAACATGTTGAATTTTCTGATGATACAACACTAAACGAAGGAGAAAAGAAAGATAGTATATCACAAAAACTTCATCGTAGAGACACGCCACATCATTTGAAGAATAAACGTATTCTTAATAAAAATGCTGATCAACTTTCTATAGAAGTAAGTGAAAAGATCATCAGTTTTTTTTTTGAGAAACCTAAAAATTATTCTTAATTATTATTTTTTAGCAAATATTAAATCAGAGTCCAAATAAAACATCGGTCACAAGTCCAGTAAGAGATGTGAGTATTTTTAATTAGTTTTTTGCGTCATACTGAAGCAAAAATATTGGTCTTACTTTTGTTCGTTAATGACTTACTTTTACGTTAACTAACTGCTCTGTGATGTGATTGTAGTTCTTGAAACAATAATACTTCTGTTTCTTATAGCTAAAACAATCCTCGTCTCGTCCAATGACCATTGAACATGAACAACTTACTCTCATTATTCGTCGAACACAAAACTTAGGTCTTGGTATTAGTATTGCGGGTGGAATTGGATCAACCGCTTACAAAGATAATGATTATGTAAGTGATCGTAGAGAGAAAGTGATAGAAGTTTATTATTATCGTTCATGATTTTAGGGTATATTTATAACAAAAGTGAATGAAGAAGGTCCAGCTGGTCAAGCTGGTTTAATTACAGGTGATAAACTATTATCTGTGAATGGTATTTCGTTAAATAATGTTGAACATCGTGATGCTGTATCAGCATTAAAAAATGCCGGTGACAATATCGAAATGGTTGTATTACGTGAGTTAATCATACCATCACCGTCCACTACAGTCGGAGGAGATCATCAAAAACAACATACAAATGCTCTAAAAGAAGGTGAAAAATTTACAACAATTATCACACGTGATGATAGAGGATTTGGATTTTCAATTGCTGGTGGACGAAATAATCATCAAGAGAACGCAGATGATACCGAAAAACAGCAGTCACCTGTCGATGATAATCATGATTTATATATATCCCGTTTAACGGAAAACGGTGCTGCTGACAAACAAGGTGAAATATTAGTTGGTGATCGAATATTAGCTATTAATGGTTACGATGTATCAACAGCCAGTCACGATCAAGCTGTTGATATCATTATGAATGTTGGAAAAAGTCTTGAACTTGTTTTATACAGAGAAAAATATTTAACACAACAAGAACAAGAACAACAACAATCACGAATTGATGCATCAAAACAACGAAATTTCGATGACTATGCAACAAAAGGAAAATTGTCGAATAAAGATTCAGTAGAGAAAACAAATTCAATTGACAATACCGTTGAAGTAAGAAATTGTCCACTACCATTAACAAGTACTTAGTCATTTTATCAGAATAAATTAAATTATTCCTTTTCTTTTAGGAAGTAAGAATAGTTAAAGGGGCTGGTCCCATGGGTCTAAGTATTGTCGGTGGAATGGATCAAGCATGTCATCCATTTGGAATAACTGAACGTGGAGTTTTTGTTTCAAAGGTAAATGTGATCAGTTTTGTGTTTATCTTTTTTATTCATATAATCGTACTTCTTTCTAGATTCAACCAAGCGGTTCAGCTTCTCGAACAAATCTTCGTATTGGTGATCGTATTTTAAAAGTATATTTTACAGAGTATGAGAGAATCAGAAGTTATTCTGCAAAATTTTATTTATAGGTAAGCAATCGTGATGTTAGTCAAGCAACACATATGGATGCAGTCAATGCTCTTATTGAGCAAACAACTGAAGTTGTATTATTAGTACGACATGAACCACAACCAGCTGGATTAAAAGTATTTCTATTTTAAATCAGTTCAACTATGTTTTAATTGATATCGTGTATTTTTGAAGGAAATTCAAATTTCACGTGCTACCGGTGAACCACTTGGTATTCGTATTAACGGTGGAGTTGATGGTAAACGAGTAAATCCCGATGATCAAGAAGATGATGGCATATTTGTTACAGAAGTAATACAAAATCATACTATTAATAGAAAAAAGTTTTGCTTTAATAATATATGTATTTTCTATTAGGTAAAAGAGGGTAGTCCTGCATATGGTCATTTAACTGTTGGTACAAGAATATTAGAGGTATTTACCATCCAGAAGAAACAAACTTCTGCTATTATTTCTCTCGCCTCGCCAGTATACGCATCGTTTGTCATCTGTGCGTTTATGTTCTTGTATCGTTTATTTTTCTCCTATCTGCACATAAACAATATTTTTAAGACAATAATGGGATATTCAAGCTACTGTTGCTGCTGGTGTTGGTTCTTATTATTTGTCATCTATTATTATCATTGTCGTTTAATTATAATTATCATCGTCACTCACATACATACATACACATACACATACACACACATACACACACTCAAGTGTACTTTGCTTTATGTAATGCTTTTCGCATGACACCCATCACACCCTATCGAAATTTAAAATCAAAAACTTTTGAAAATCTTATTTTTTATTTCTGTAGGCAACAAAATATAAGAATAATTGTTGTTCATATAGTAGCAACAGTAGCATCGACGAAGAATCTATTGAAAATTACTGTGAGACAAATTTAGATGATATAGTAACATTAAATTTAAATAAATCAAAATTTTCAACATATTATTGTCATCATCGAAAAAAACGTTTTTATTCAGTGCCAAATAAATTATCAAGAATGAAAGAAAAAATTCTTAATCAACCTCAAACAAAAAGGCATCATAATCGTTCTTGTTATTGTTGTTGTTTTTCATTACTATTTCCAAACTATTCATCTCCAGTGTTAACTCAAAATCGTTCAAATCATAAAAAACTCACATCATTAAAACATCATTTATTAGCACCAGTTGTCACCATAAAAGATATAATTATATCATCGTCAACAAGTAATAGTAGTGATTCTAATTCTCCAAATGAATTGAAAATTGAAAATAAAAAAGTAAACGGTGAAAATGAAATAAATGGTGATCTTATTCAATGTTTAAGTGAAGCTCTTAGTTCATCGTCTAACAATGCTATTAGTTCAAATGCTCTCTCTGATGATAATGATCAGCTTGTAGCTGAAATTGATCATTTTTTAAACGAGAATTCGGATGATCGTTTATCAACTAAATCATTGGTGTTTCAAAATGAAATAGTCAACGATCATCCACTCGTTCATTCATACACATCATTATCTAGTTATAATATTGTTAATCGAAAACAATCATGGGTATCTAAAAGCCAAGAAGAAGAAGAAGATGTAGGTGAAACACAAACATTATGCGAGGAAGAGCATGAACAACATGCGGAGAATTGTTTATTTTGTGGTAATGACGACACTGCTTTATCTAAACCACGAGACAATAACAATAATCATATTGATTTACATCCATTGAAATATATGCAAGAATTAGCGTGGAAAAATCATTATTCATCATCTCCATCTTCTTCATCTTCGTCATCACGTTCAACATCAAAACAAAATAGTATTGAGCAAAAAAAAGCATCTCTTTTTTGGATATCTGATTCATGTGATGAATCTGACACTGGCGTATCATCACCATCATTATCATCGTTCAAACGTGTTAAAATTGATTTATTACACGCAGCTGATGCCTATTTATCTTCAACCAATGATTTTTCGTTAAATACAAGTTTAGATACATCATCAGGTTCAGATATGCCACAACAAGCGCAAGCAATATCCACTATTCAATCATCATTGAGTTTATGTGAATTAAATGAAATTATTTACGCTATTAATACAACAGAAGATATATCGATTGACGAAAGAGAGCATACACTTAATTCATTGGCAACATCATTGAGAGAAGTTGCAAATGAAACATCAGAAAGAATTCATGAAGTTAATCCAGTTCCTGATGCACAAGACCAACCCCTCCTAGGACATCCAGTTATTCGGGCAGTTATGTATGAAATTGTCATGAGATTGTTTAGTTTCTATATAATAATGATTTATTATCATCTTCTTATTTTACGTTTAATATGATCTTTGTGATACAGTGTGTTATGCTGAACAGCATGTGCTGCTAATAGAAAATTTATTTTTACGTTCAATAGATGCTTGATGTTGTGCCTGGCTACTTGGTATTTCAAATTTTATAGATTCTTTCCATGCTGTAATTGAATAACTAGCTAGTAGTATAAATACTTTTATATTTTTTCTTTTTCCATCATAATAATAATAAAAGAAAGACTCGAACTTAAACATAACGCACACATGACAGACAATGGTGAATTAAGATAATTTTTTATGTACTATTTGTGTATGTATATGTGTCACTATAGGTTAACAATCAAAGTTTGTTTGGTGTACGTTTGGAAGATGCTCAAAAAGCAATTAGTATGTCAAGTGAAACTATTAATTTATTAATTTGCTATGGTTTCAAACCCACAGAGGTATATTTATCAATTTTTCATCCATATTTGGGTGCAACGAGCTTAGAAAGATTATCTTTATAAATATTATATATTCCACATATACTCAGTTCTTTTTTCATTTTGCAGTCTCAAATATCTTCTCCAACTTCATCGAATAATAACAATAATAATAATAATAATAGTGAACTTTCAAAAACGCCCCATTCACCAAGTTCAACTCGACAACCGACAACTCCTCCATTAATGCGTCATTCGTTGCAGAAACAACAACAACAAAACCCCACATTATCTCCAGTTCAAACGACAACCTCTTCATCATCAGTAGTGCTTAATCATCGTACAACCGAGCACCATAATGGTTCACAAAATATAAATGATTCATCGTCTAAAATAACGAATCGAACTTTATCACCAAAATTAAGTCCACGTGTGAGTAATTATTTTTTCGTTGTACTATGTTTCATTTGTTTTAACTTGTTTCTTTGTTCGTAGCCTGACAAAAATCTGATTCCGAACATCGATAGCAATAGTCATCATTACTTGACTCATCAAATAACATCAACGCCACGATCTAATGTGAACAATACAAGTCTTAGTCCAAATAATGATCATGCACAATTACCTCCTCCTATTCCTGTTAAACCTAAACGTTTACAGTATGATCAAAATGATTCATCATTTTCGAAACAAACTAATAGCAATAATTATAACTCGACATCTCCGTTTTCTTCAATGTCAAATTCAACAACAATAATATCTCCGACAGGAACATCGTCATCCACATCGTCATCATATGTACGACCGAATACAGCCGAATTTCGTCAGTTTGTACCAATACCCGATCATCTTAATATGAATAATCAAAAACCATCACATAATGGATTTGAAATTGATGAAGTATGTTTAAACGATTGATAAATATGCTAAGATTATTTGTCAGTTGACATTGATCGCAATCCAGTAGTTCGCGAACATGATCGAACGTTTTCAAAAACAAGAGTTACACCAATCTGTGTTGATGAAAGGAGTGTGTCTCACTGCTAATATGTCCACGATTTGTAATTCACTGAATCTGATGACTTTTGTTAGGTGAAAAACACGCGTAACCAGACAGAGAGCGCAGAATATACCTTTCGACGCACTAAGCTCAGACAAGAGTTGATTAAATATCAATATAGAAATTTTGAATTTCTAACTTTTATTCAATTGAACTTATTCATTTATTTAGTCTGATTTATCTGTTACCGAATCCGAACGTTCATTTAAAGATAAGAAGAAATTTTTTGAAAGTGGTTTCAAAGATCAAGTGCCAAAACCAAAACGTACGATAGTAGTAAACAAAAATTTATATTTTAACATTGGTTTATTTTGAATTTTTTTAGCTCGACAATTCAAATATATCACTGAACATGAACTTCAACAAATGAAACAAGAAGAAGGTTTGTATTCAGAGACATATCACTTATATGTAAAAATCGAAATATTATCATATGAAACAAGTAAAAGAATAATTGTATGTTATCATCCTTTTTCAGAACAGAAAATAAAATCAATGAGTCCAACTGAAGTTTTATCGCGTACACAAATCGATACTGGCGACGATAATACTCATCATTCACATCAGCAAATTTATCAACCGACTCAACATATGTTACCAAAGTAAGACATTATCCAGCAGATTGTTGCTTACAATTAAAATGCAGTTTAGTTGTCTTTTTTACAAAAAAAAAAAGCTTTTTTCCCATGAAAACAAATTTAAATCTATTTGCTTGACGCGCTCGCTTAACACTATCAGCAAAACATACAGTAATGATTTTTTTCACCAAATTTTACTATCGAAGTACGTCGTTTATTTTAGACAAGCTGAGAAAAAATCCTTGTCAGTGTTGTCCTAACAGACAAAAATATAAAAATTTTGTCTTCCTAAATGGGTGCATAGCATAATGCACATAGTGAATGAAAATATAGTGGTGTTTTTTAAAGACGTACGGGAAAATTTACCGCTAACAAGGTAAGCTAACAGAAAGTGCAAAAACAGTCATTTAATCCCAGAATCCTTTTTAAACTTAACGCTTCATTTTTTCTTCTGACGAAGAAAAGCTCTAAAATTTTTTACAAAAAGAAGAATGTTCCATTTATACTTCACGTCATAGAAGTATATAATTGATAATGAATGAAAACAAATTAGCTAAATCTTACATTTACTAATACTTTCTAATTTCATCCTGCGCTTTGTCTAGCGCTTTCTACTGTGGAGCTCTCAGTGAACAACAAGGTACCATGGAATTTTAAAACTCCAACAATTACAGTAATCCAGAACCATACAGAAATATATATTCCATATTGAAGACGTATATCTGTTGTTTATTTTCTACTTTTATAACAATGTTGTAACTTAAAATTAGTTTTTTTGACAACAGTTATTAAATGATTGAATAATATTAACATTTTAATTATTTTATTAACATTCTTTTGATCAAAATCCATTTTCTTCTTACTTCAAGATTAATAACATTCATTACAAGTCATGTATGCTTTTCTTTGATTTTTCTTTTATGTTTGTCTTCAAGTAACTAGAATTAGAGGGTTTTGATCGAAAGCTTTCTTAATCTTTTATGCTATGTAATCTAGTTATGATCTTTTAAATAAGTAGAGTATCTTGATAGCAGAATAATTTGTGCTTATTTTTGTTTCTAGAGAAGAAAAAGATGATGTACTATTGCGTAAACCAAGAACAGATCATATATCTAATAGGTAGACAGAGAGTCCATATTTATTTTTCTCCTATTGCATTTACCTAGTGTATATGAAATAATGTTAATGTTTTTAGCAATCTATATCTATATTTTAATGAGAAAAACGGAACTGATTGTATTTTATCATAATATATTCATAATTACTATTGTGATTGTTGTTATATTTAGAATAACATCATTGGAACGGGATACTGCTACAGCACAGGCCTTATTATCCAAATTTACCATTGGTAAGAACGTAAAATATATTTGAATTTTATAATTTGTATTATTATTTTCTTTTTTGTCCTATTCAGATTCAGACATGTCTTGAAATATCGTAGTACGAATACTATTGACAATCACAATGACATCAACAACAATGATTCGTATAAAACGCAATAATATTTGTTCAGTCTTATAATTTTTTGTCTTTTGTTTAATTTTTTTTTTCTTCTTCTATTTCTTGTTTCATTCAATTTAATATTATTATTCTAATTCTATTATCACTTATTACGCAATACAATCTAATCAAACATATCTGTGTATGTGCCTGTCTGTCTGTTTATGTCTATAATATATGCAATTCACTTCTGTGTCTATGTACATAATAAAATAAAATGTTCGAAACAGTGAGGAAATGTCTGTTTTCCTTGCTCAATTTACTTATATGGGAAAAAAAAGCGTTGTTGTAAATATCAGATGAATGATGAATCTGTTAATTCTTCTTCTTATACACCTGTTTGAATCTGACCTTTTTTTGCTGTCTGCAAAGCAAGACGAATGTCATTCATATTTATTTGGAACAAATTTTTTTTCTTCTTCTTCTATGTATTACAAATAGCAGCACAATCGTCATTCGGTTTTTTTTTTGGTCCGTTGTTTTTTTTTCTATTCTTTGTTGTTGTTTCTTCTTACTACATAATAAACATTTTTTTTTTCTTTTGTTAAATATGACTTCATAAGAAAATACAAAATAAAATGTGAACTAGTTTATAAAGTTAACTAAATAAACAGACCTTGATTGAAAATCTACTACAATTATTCAGACTAACGAGGGAACTATTCCAAGTGTTAATCACAGATGCTAACGAGAGGTACCCCAATCGATAGAGCTCGACGAGCTGATTCTAGTGGCATAAAGCATTTTTCCCAATGTTTCTTGAAGACCCAGTTTTCTAGAAAACCAGTTTT